GGGGGGGGGGGAGGGGGCAGTCTGTACACTGGCTAGTTCATTACAGCCCTATTTGTGTTTCCTGGCCCATGCTAGAGGAGGGCAGAACCATCCTGCCTGCCTCATAAGTTGAAGGGCAAACCGGTGTCAATTTCTTTTTCAACCCCATCTCTTCCGACTTGTGCTCTCTCTCGTCCAGGATCCAAACTGGTAAGTTGTCTGAGTTCCTGACAACTTCATGCCGCACGCACCTCAGTTTCATGGACCCCGGGCCGGAGGGTAAGCTCTATTCTGACGATTACAATCTCAGCATTGACAGCTTCAGTGAACTAGAATCCGAGGAATGGCTGCATGGCTTACAATTAGCAGATGATGGTAAGGAGGAAGGGGTCAGCAACCTTTGTGCCCTGGAATATGCTGTGGTTGAGAGTGCCAAACTCATCAATAAGACTGTTAACTCTGGGACTCTCCAACTACATTTGGATTCCCGCCTTGGTTCTGTTTTCACTTGACCCCCTCTCCCACATTTAACCTCATCTCTGTCTAATATTTATGTTGGTTTCAGCAGGGCAGAGGGCTGAATAAATCCCTGAGCTGGGTACTGAGTCTTGGCTTTCAAACAAGTCCTTTCAGGCACACCTCAGTCACAGAAGGGATATGATGGTGTTGACAGGAAGCAAAGGGTCTGTTTTGCTGTAGGCTACTGTATAGGGACTGCAGAGGGTATGAAATGATTGTTAGGATTTGGTCAGTTACCTGTGCTAGTTAGCTATATTTAATAGTCTGGAAAGAGGTGATGAACCAGAGGCAATCCAAAAAAAAAGGATGAATGTTTTGAGATTGCCAGTTTTAGATGTATGCAAAGCCCTTGAACATGTGCTTTTAGCCCTATCCTGACATAGCCACCTTAGTGATTGGAGCTGGACATATTGATATACAGCTCTGCCGTGCCTTATGGATGCCCTGTTCCTGAAACATGCCTGCAGGGCACACGTGGTTTTCCACATCTCCCTCAGGATGAGGAGAGGCTGTCAGTACATCTGGCTGAAGTTACACTTCCTCTTCTGTGAAACAGGCTTTGCTGTTCTGCTGTCTAAATTCTGCTCCTGTTTCCAGAGGCCTCTCATTGCCAGATGGCTATCACAATACTTTTCCTTAACTCTCCTCTATTCTTCCGACTCATCTGTTAATCCGTGTAGCTGCTAATCCATTTAACTGTGCCCATAACTCACTTGTGGTTGCATCTTTACATTCACTTAACATCAGTGGGATCCTTGTGTTGGTTTAGTTTGGTTTTCACTTGAAGCTTTGTTATCCCCTTGCAAGTGAATGTGCATGTTGTTAATCTTTAGTGTCTTTTGCTGAGATGTCTGCATTCTATAGCCAGTATGCTTGGGTTCCTGCCAGGATGCAATTGCTATGGGGCTAAATTGTAGCCTCTGCTCTGGACAATTGCTCTCCCAAGCTGTAATCTCTTCCTGCAGCTGAACTGATGAGTCCTGTGGAAGGTGTCTGGATAGCTAGACTGTAATGCAGATATTTTCTGCAGTGTCTCCCAAGATATGATGATGATGATGATGATGATTAAAGCCCCTCTGCCCTGCACATTTGAGCAGCTGCTTTGTTTACATCTATTGCAAACAGTTCTATCTGCCTGCCTGCCCAAATGCTCTCTAGCTCTGCTGTTAAGGGAAGGCCTCATCCAGACCTGAAGAATGGGCAAACACTGTTGTCTCTGTGGGCACCCAAGGCTTGCATGCTCTTGTTGTGCTACAGCTGGAACTGGCTAGGCAGTTTGCACGGTGAACTGAATGGAGGTGTGTGAGCTTAGTAAGATATGAGAAGAGCTATACTGCCATCTGTGCTGTGGTACAGGGTAGCTGTATCTAGCTAGCTGGCTTTAAACTAGCTAGGTCTGGTAGCAATAGCTGTCTGCCACAACCAGTTGGAGCTCACTGCAGACCTGAAAACTCATCTGTAAATCTGTCCTGCATCTTGAATGGTTTTTTCAGTGATACAAGCACTGAGCTCCATGCTGCCAGGGTTAGACTGCTGCTGCCATCTGACTTGGCTAAGGTGAAGCTTGTTTGGGTGTGTCCACAATGTGCTGCAGCCACTGCAGTGACCATAGTGTAGATGTCATCGGAGTGTTAGCATGACTGTACCATTCCTGTCTTCATGTAGAGTCAGAACAAGGTTTGGTCAAAGGATATTGTTTCCCCAGTGTGGTCCTTGCATGCAAGTCTTGGCCTTTACTTGGAGGTATTGCATTTACATGGAAATTCCAGCAGAGTCTTTGGAGACTGCCCTAACATAGAAATGTTCTCCAGTTGCCACTTGAGACGCATGATCTGGCTAACTTATAACTCTCCATATTGCGTGTCTGGTACCATGTGGTTTAACAGCCTGATGGTCCCACTCTGCAGAAAGATATATGGTGATACTAGGACTCAATGTGTTCACTTGCTCTCATGGAGAACAGAACACTGGTGCATATGTCCCAGTGTTGTAATCTGACTGCAGATTTGTTCCTGTCACAGGTCTGTGAAACCTGTTCTTGAGAGAGCCCTGCTCACACTGCTTCCAGGTGTGGAGTTGCATAGTTTGCTTCTGTGTTGTTGCGATTGTTTGGTGTCTGTTCTAGGTAGGTAGAGGTAGAGAGCTAGTGAGACAGGAAAGAGGTGGAGGCTGGGATGAGGTGTTCATTCTCTGTGGTGGTTTTGATTCCCTACGAATAACTATTATAGTGTCTGTTACCTTTCAATAAAAAATATTATTTGTGTTGCCATAGTAGCCCCTGTCTCCGTTCAGACCAGAGCCCCACTGTGCTGGGTACTCGCACATACTTTGCAAGTGACAGTCACTGCGAAGAAGACCTTACAGTGTACTCTAAGAAAAAAGGTTAATAAAGGAGCATAGCAAAGGACAGGGGTGATGGATCCATGCACTTGCTTAGGCTTGCTTTGTACAAAGGCTGAAGGCTTTGAGACAGACAGACTAGTAGTCCTGATGAATGGTGCTGTGCTCTGCAGCACTGAGCAGCTGTCTTTTTGGAAAAGCCTACAAGGTAGAGACTAGAGTCATGATTGGGACCATGCTGAACCCACTGTTACCTTGGTCTGCTGCATGTACTGTTAACTAGTTAGCGGTAAACTGCAGTGAGAAGTCAGAGCTAGGCATAATTATAATGCTCAAGAGGTGCTGAGTTGACCCTGTGAGCATAGCTGCCTTTCCAATGGAGATGGCTTTGACATTAAAAGCAGAGGATACAGAAATTCCACCTGAAGTTGTGTGCAGTGAAAGACTCCATCTGATTTCCCAGACAATATGTAAAGGAGGATATGGGAATCCTGCTGGGAAAGTGCACGTGCAATGCTGCTATCAGCATAACTTTCCCAGTCCAGTTTGACTTGCTCTGTTGAGCCAAGCTGATGTTGCAGTGTTACAACTATGTCCTTCCCTCTACCAATCATATGCTAGCACAGCCTGGGTTTATTTGTGCAGATCTGTTCACTTGCTGGAATCTGACAACATGGGCATGGGAAAGAGGTGGGGGAATGACAGTAGTTTAGCTGAAGGACTTCAGTTTGGCATCTGGGTGCTGCATTTGATTATTCCCCCCAACTCCCCCCCCCTGTTTAGAAGAAACGTAGTAGCAGGAGCCAAGGGAAAATTGGAGACTGATTCTCTGCAGAGAGCTTTTCTGAAGGCAGAGGTAATGCAGCCTCCAATGGATGGTGATTTGTGTTTCTGAGGGATTGGGGTTCTGTGCCCAGATATTGCAGGAAGTGGAGAGGAGAATTCAAGAAATTGGCATGTCATGAATGGGTGGGGGCAGTGCATGGCTGCTTGCACCGAACATCTCTGCCTAGTGAGTCAGCAAGTTTTACTGTTTCATGTAGGGAGACCAAGCCTTCTCCCTGTGCAGGGGAGTTCTGCCCCAGAGGAAGGGGCAGCTCCAGGGAAGCCAAGGCACAGGGTGACTAAACCACTCTCTTCTGCCTGCTATTCCAGCTGACATTTGTGATGAAGTGGCTCAGTATTTAGATCACCTCCTGGAGCACACAGCTCCTAGGCTGAACCTCCCTCCCACCGCACAGAAGGGAGGGCTGCATCGCTTCCGAGCTGCAGTGCGCACTACCCGCGACCTCATGTCCTTGGCATCCAAGGCTAAGGAGCTGCACATACAAAGTGAGTAACATGCAGGCTGCCTTGCAGGGGAGTAACCAGAGTTAGCGCATGGAGCTTTAGCCCCATTCAGATTCAGACCTGAAGGGAGGCAGGCAGGTGGTCATCATTGCTGTTGGAGGGTTGCCCATGCCTCATCTGCTGCTTACATATGGGCTGGCATGAGTGGGAGCCTCATCTGGAGTAGCAGGGCTTACACTTTGGGCCTGAGACAGGCTGGGGGGTCATGTGGCATGACAGACAGCTGCAGAACTGGCTCAGGGAACCAGCCCCACTGGACATTGTTTGTTGTCTTGGGAAGCCAAGCTCTGAGACTAATTTTTCTTCCAGTTTAACTGTCCCCTGTGCTTGTGGGCTGTCTGTCAGCTGCTCAAGTGTTCTCCCTTGAGTCAGTAGCTACAGGTTCACAGGGCCCATTATTAGGTCTGGAGACAGGAAACATTGTGTGGCTTTAAGGATGGGGTGGCGGGTTCACAAGATACTAGAGCCAGCATAGAGGGACATGTCAGATGTAAGAGCTTGTGTTACAAGGCAGGAGTCCATTGCTGACAATTCTGGTGCTGACACCAACTCCCTCAGTGACCTTGTTCATAACATATAGCCCTCGTTCTCCCCACTTTATGGAAAGGGAAGCAAATGTTCTTCTGCCTCATGGGAGTTTGGCTGCTGGCATTTCCTGAGCTTCTGTGGGAATCTTAATGGAGTGTTGTAGGTGCTGATGGACATGTGGTAGGGGCAGGAGAGGAGATGGCAGAGAACTGAGATGAGAAAAAGAGACTGAGTGGGAGGGAAACAGTGAGGTAGAGAGAGATTAAGGGTTTGGAGTGAGTGAGAGGAGAAGGTGGCTAGGCTTAGAGTGCCAAATGGGAGGAGTGTGTTTCTAATTTCCCATCCCCTTTTGGACTTCATGTTCCACCAATGTTAACCCATCACTGTGTGATGCAGACTAGCCTGTCTTATTGCCTCACATGTGGGATGTGGAAGGCCTTTCTGCTTCTTCCCTGAGACTCATGCCTTAAGGCCCTGTCCACCTTATGGTATGGATAGTACTGGTGATAAGTGTGTTACAGTGCAGTGAGGCACACTCCTACTGGGAAAATACATTTAACACTGCTGTCACTTTCACCGTTGGAGTGTTCTTTCCCAGTCCAGTTTGATGTGCTCTGCTGGGCCAAATCATACTATAGGCTAACACTCCAGATCCTGTCGTATTGCAAGTACTCCCTTACCTTGGCCCAACCATACCCTAGCAGAGTCTGGGTTTGTCTGCAGGCAGTACCTGTTTTGTGTTGGAATCCTGCCTGACTGCCTAGAACAAATGGGTCATGTAAAGACCTTTAAATGACCCAAGAAAATAACAGCCCATGTGCAGCCACTTGGTCCTGGTGAATGAAGGCCACACTTAGTGTAACCACTAGAGTCTTGACAGCTGCTCCAGTAAAGGAGAAAATTTCTGATGAAGGTCCAGCTCCCTCTGCTTTAGCCAGAAGCCATCTGCTCAAACCCTTATGAGCTACTGTAGCCACTTCTGTTCTTGCTAGCAAAAATAGTGGAATCCAGTTTGTATGCAAGCTTGTTTGCCAGGGTGTCTGATGTTTTAGTGATGTGGTCCAATCTAAATGGACAAGGCCAGGCTGTGTTGACAGTGTGATAGAACCTGTTGTGGAAGGTTGGCCCTGTACCTCAAGTGGCAGGTGGCTTATTTGCCTTGGTTTATCCAAGTAGTGTTAGCAGCCAGTGCCCAAACCACTCTTTCAGTCCAGTGTTGCTAACTTGGAGGAGTGGGTGGGGATTGAAAACTACTGATCCACGAGTACAGTCTGTGGGCATTTGCAGCACACTGCCAGACTGTAGCTATAATGGTTTAATTGGGTGAAACCTGCAGTCTGCAGTGGTTGATGCTGACCACAGGTAAGAGCCATGGTTGTGGCAAGGGTTAATTGCTGCTGGTGTGTGTGTGCATCTGGGTGCCAACTCTCACTGCTCTTGAAGGTATGGTTGCCTTAGAGCTGCTGGAGATCTTGTACTCTCCCCTGCAGGAGAACCACCAAAATGTGTTTCAACAAAGATTAAAAATCTGCAGAGAACCTGGCCTGTCCTACTCACAGTGTATGCCCTTTCTTTCTTAAGACAGAGGAGTGGGTAGAGCTAAGTACAGCAGGCAACAGATTAATGCCCCCCCCTCCCTGCCATGACCCTTCCCCCCTCAGAAAGTAGCTAGTCAAAGGTTAGCATTTACCTTGCAGCTTCCTACTGTGTAAAATGAGGGTGAGAAACCATACCAAGGCTGCAGATTACTCTGTGTCAGAGCCAGGTTTAGAGACCACAAATTCCTGGTTCCAAGTCTTCAATAAAGCCTATGAGAGGTGGCACCTCTGTGTTTAATGGCTGGTATGATCATCATTTCTTTCTTCTTTTTCCCTGCTGATCAAGCCCTTTGAAGCAGCTCTGTGAAGACTCTTTACCATCTTCTTAAAGGGTTGTTGAGGCAGCTTAGTGAGAGGGGAAGCTGCAAACCCTTGGTAGTCCTCCAGCGTGCATAGGAATCTCTGGTCCATTTAGCACAATTCTTTGTAATGGATCAATCAAGCAGTTACCTCAAAGGCTCAATTAATTAATCTTGGCTGCAGCCTATCCACCCGAGTGCAAGCCAAGGGCTGGAGGGTTCCAGTGCCCATTAGCCTCTAGAGAAATTTTGGACAGATTAGAGACTATTAAACAGCCACCAGCTACTCATGAGGGAGGGAAGTGGGGGCGTGAGAAAGGGGGTAGACTTCTCATCCCTGCCAAGCCCAGGCTTGGCTAATCCTGAATGGAGGTTATTGTGCAAACTGGGCACTTAAATGACTCTGAGCAGTGAGGTGCAACATGCTCTCTATCTGCTGGAGAGGGTGAAATGCAGCATGCTGAGGTTAAATCTGAGTGTTGTTTTCTTGCAGATGTTGGGATGTACATCCCTTCCAAGTTGTTTCAGACTTCTCAGCCATCTGTCAACCTGCTGGGTTCCATCCAGAAGCACGAGCCAGAAGTCAAGGTAACTATGACCGGTTTCTGCATTGGGGTGGGCCCTGGTGCTCCATCTTAGTGGAAGCCATCAATTGCCTGGACTCTGAAAAGCTTTCTGAATAGGCCCAGCCAGGAAAGAACAGGCTGATGGCCCAGGACAGCAATAAGCCAGGTCTGTGCAGGTTTGGAAGTGACTTGAATCCTACCTGGGACAGTTAGATGTGGACACTCCATGTCCTTGATAACCAGCCTGCAGACTGCTTCCAGCAGGCCCATAGCCCATGGGCTGCAGGGTATTCAAAGGTGACTGAGAGCAGACAAGCCAGGGGGCCTAGCATAGAAGGAGCAAGGTCCACAAGGAAGAAGAGGAGCTGTTGTTGGATGTGACGTGGTGGACCAGTGGAGATGGATCTGTCCAAGGAGGAGTGAGGAGTTAGCTCAGCATCCTGGTTTGTGGACTAGCACTGGGAAAGAATTATCTTGAGCTAAGGCTTTTTCCAGCCCCTTGCAGTAGTGCAGACCTAGTCTGGTGGAGGCTGCTGAGGCTTTTGTCTGGTGTTGGGGCTTTGGCCAGCGTTAGCAGCCAGTGTCTTGTCCCATCCTTTGGGAATGGAGTTGGGTACAGCAGGGAGTCTAGGGGAAGGCTTTGAGATGTTAGCTCTAACCGAACCTTTGAATGCCCTCTTCTAAAGATCCCCTCGCTCCATGCTGAGATGAACCTCCCCAGAGACGATGCTGGGAATGTGGACTGCAAAGCCCTGGTGGACCAACTGCGAGAGTGCCCCACCCTGCAGGAGCAGGCTGATCTCCTCTACATGCTCCACACCCTCAAGTAGGAGCCCCAGCCAGTCCCCCTGCTTCTTCTCGCTGCTTCACTCCTTGCTTTGCCTCCCTATGGCAGCACTTAGTGTCACCAGAGAGACTTTGGGGGTTGCCTGCTTGCTGGATGGAAGTCAAAGTTCCCCAGTTCAGGCCTTTAAAACTCAGTGAAACCATTTAGCAAATATAAGGCAGGAAGGAGTCTCCAGAGCCTCTACTAACTTGGATGAATCTGTTGGCCATTTCATGATACAGAAATAAACTTGGTTTGTGATAGCACCACACTTAAGAGCCAGACCTCATGCGTAATGCTGTGTGCTTCATATGCGTGCCTAAATTTGTTTTTCCTGAAAGGACTTAACACCTTTGAGAGCTGAAACTTCCAAGCATGCAGCTTTGTTGCTTTCTGTCTCATCCTCATGTGCTGTTTGGAGCAGTGCTGCTAGCCAGGACAGTGTTCCTCCCTGAGCACTGCTGTTTTCTTAATCCTGATCTGTCATCTGTTGCTTTGAACAGATATTAATGCTGCTGCTGCTGCAGTTAGCTGTGCTTGGCTAAAACACCCTTGTTGTAACCAGGGATCTCTAACACAGGGGGCCTGACTGGGACACTGAGATCCATGGCCAACCTGGTGCTACAATCAAGGACCTCCTTACTGAGCTGTACATCAAAGTAGGGACTACTCGACAGTGGGCCCTG